TCGTGTTCGTGATTTTAATAACCTCTCATTCTTTGCCAAAAAAATCTTACCTTTGGTTGTTTAAGGAAATACCTGTAGATGGTGCTTCATGCACTTGAGCGGAGTCCTAAGTGGCTATTCACAGAGAATGTCTTTTTGCATTTAAAAAACAAGACGCGGCAAATGTAATCGGAAATAACTATAAAATATGAAATGGGAAATAATAATAATGCACACCATACAGTGCACGGACATTTAAAAGCGTGTTTGATGTGCGAGAACAACATGAGTTTAAGTTAACTAAATTTATTTGGATGAGCTGACTTTAGTGAATAGTCATTTTGTCACGCTTTACGATTACTATGGCAACGTCGGTCCATGACACGAGCACCGCCTTGACTGTACAAAACCAAGCGGCAACCTCCCGGTCTCTCGCTTGAAGCCAATACGGAAGTGACTAAAACTGCAATTCATCGTCTGACCGCTAGAGGCTGGCTCCAAAAGGGAGTCAGTCCCATAGACTCCCCATGTTAAAATGCCCAACTTTACAGCAGAAAAAAATGTTTACAGCCTGGTACAAAAAGTGCTTTTGGTCTATATAGGTATTTTTGCCCTTCATGACAACTGTGAGGGGGTGAATTTTATAACGCATCTGTTTAAATTATATTAAGCCTTAAAGTTCTGCGTAATTAAGGGCGTCGTCACTTGAGTGACAGGTGGACTGCCGCTCTGCTCCAGAGTGTGAAACTCGCTAGACTGTGAAACTTAGAAAAATGGCTTTAAAGATTTTTATTTGTCCAGAAAAAAAGAATTATGGGTAATTAGATGTTTTAATGAAAATGATCTCTTAATTAACTTTTTTCTCAAAACCGCTATTTTGAAGTTATTGTAGGTACTCCTTTGCACTGTCTGCAAAAAGTGAGATGTCACGCCAAGGCAAAATTCAGCATTTTACCACACACGATTTAAGAATTTTATAACCCCAAAAAAAGCATCTCAGGGTCTTTATGAAAAAGTTTTTGATAAAGTTGATTAATGAACACACACTATAAATGCACTAATGCTTTAATTAGAAGATAGGTCACTTTCTAAAAGCAACCTATTTATTAATTTTCTTTCTTTTGAAATCAAATAACTCTGACTTCATAATGCATTACTACATTAACAGGAAGATAATTATAGTAACGTAAATCAAGTTCAAAGTGCCCAACTAAAGGGACTGCTGATTACTATAATGGGGAGTTAAAAAAAAACACATTTTAGGAAAATCAACATCAATTTATGAAGTTAGCTTATGTGATGTTCTTTCAAATATTTCAGTTGTATTGAGAATTCAACATTCAAGATGACTTTGGGAAACGAGTGAATGCAACTAGTGAAAGATAATTGCAGACATGGAGGAAATGAGTGAAAAGTCTATTAAGACTCGTTTTCTTTTCTTCTTCTGCTGTTGTTATGTTGCACATTAGCAACATATTAGTGCACTGCTGCCTCTCATTGGTTTATTAATGTCATTGGTTCCTTTGTGGCTACTTGAATATTTTAAGTAAGTGTCACTCAAAACAGTAAGTAAATTGTTTTATTTGCCTTGAAAGTAGCTGTAACTTAATAAAACCTAGTAAGTATAACAACTAAGTAAAGATAACTAACTAAATCTAAGTAAGGTAAACTATTGGATTTTACAGTGTATATAAAATCTAGTGATCATTGGCTAGGCTATAACATATAGTAATGTAATAAAAAAAAATTCTGACCGTAACAACCAGACAAAAAGTTAAACGTAAGTGGATACCATTTTGCAACCAATTTATTTGCAATGTTCGCTAACATTTAAAGGATGTAAGACATACTTAGCCTATTGTTTTTACATCGAACTGAATGAAAATAGCTTAACCTAAGAATGACTTGTGGATTGATGTGAACGCCAGCAGGAATAATGCTCAGAATGATTGTGAATTAAACATCTCAGATGACGTTCATTGTAATGTTTTTTTATCGAGTTACAAGTAAAGGTATGAAACGGATTTAATTGCGTACAGTAACTGATTTTATGTGATGGCATTCGACTCAGAAGTGGGCAGCCCTAGACTGAGAGCTGGTATCTGCACTATAAAAAGAGAAAAAAAACTTTAAAGATTATTTACGATTAATTGTTGTTGCCAAGTTATCTAGTCGTTGCTTGTTTACAGTGCTTTGTTATATGGAGCAGTTTGTTAGATCCGATTTATCTAATTTGTTTGTCTAAAGAAGTGCCAGCAGATGTATGAAAGTACACAAGACACACCTTAATTTAAAAGCGCAGACTTTAATGTACAGTAAATCAGAGGCAGAATACCGTATAACTCCAGGCTGGCACAGTAAAATTGACGAACGGCTAAACGGATGCAGAGCACCGTAACTTAATTTGAGCGTTCTAAAACAAAGTCAAAGAGCGGTAACTGATGATACTGTGTTCTGCCTTGGTATCTCCTGGGCTTTTCTCCAAGATACTTATACACATGATAAAGGAGGTCATATATGTCCCAAAATTATCAATAACTCATTTCGACCAAAAACGAAGTTACGGTGTTTTGTCTTTGCACGGCAGCACTGCTGTCACCATAGATGGGCGTGGTTTCAGCAGCTTCACCCACGTCCTGCCTTTTTTGCCCATTTTCGATTATCCGGGAGTGACGCGCTGCCAAAATGGCGGCGGTCGGCTCCGCCCACTTTAGGCTTAAAAATGCTCTTCTGAAGCCTACGAGTGACGTCACGGACACTACGTCCATGTTTTTTTTTTACAGTCTATGTACAAAACGCATCCAAAATGAGACCAAACGGCTAGCGCGCAGTGTTTTCACCGCTTGCCGTGTCCTGTCTAAAAGGGGCTTTATGGGATTGATTGCATTTCGTTGCTCATCTGAAGCGCGTGCGCGCTGGAGTGGCTCGTCAAAGTAAAGTGCAAACATATTTTAAATCACCATATCGCATTTAGTTTTGAGTAGTATAAAGTTTCAAAGCATTTTAGACTGTTTCTTCTTATTGTGCACGTTCATAGAGGGAGAGAAGGGACATACAGTAGTGTGCACCGGTGGCTCGTCTGTACAAAAGATACAACAATTTAATGCACTGAAAACACAGATGGACAAAAATAAAGTTTACAGAGTTTCAATGACGATTACAAAGAACAGGTTTCCTCAAATCCAGCACTGGAGGGTCATCATTATCCTGCATAAAACTCAACTGCCTGTAGCTTTCTAGTAACTCTGAAATCCTTGATTAGCTTGTTGTTTGTAAACTATTGGCATGTTTAACAAGATTACATCTTTAATATGAACATGAATATGAATGAATACATTTTATGCATATAAGTCGCATATTTTTGGTTTTTGTTCTAAAGATTTATTTTATTTTCATTATTAAGAAGTTTGCACAAGAGTAAACTGTAAACATTCAACTTTGCTAAAATTAAATGTCTTGCATTGGTCTACACTGGAAGTGTTCCATTAACTCTGCTAAACTATAATTACTAAAACTGAAACTAAAATATATAAAAACTAAATAGAAATGTGTTCACAAAATAAAAACTTAACTAAAACTAACAAAACCATTAATGAAACTAACTAAAACTAAACAGAAATTATAGGAAATGTGAAAACAATATTAAAATAAAAACTAATTAAAAAAATCTAAACTATAATATCCTGATCAGTCCTGTGTCATGCCAACAGTAAAGCATCTTGAGACCATTCATGTGTGGGGTTGCTTCTCAGCCAAGGGAGTGGGCTCACTCACAATTTTGCCTAACAACACAGCCATGAATGTTCTTAGGCATCTGTGGTACAAAAACATCCTCAGAGAGCAACTTCTCCCAACCATCTAAGAACAGTTTGGTGATAAACAATGCCTTTTCCAGCATGATGGAGCACCTTGCCATAAGGCAAACGTGATAACTAAGTGGCTCGGGGAACAAAACATCAAAATTTTGGGTCCATGGCCAGGAAACTCCCCATTGAGAACTTGTGGTCAATCCTCAAGAGGAGGGTGGACAAACAAAAACCCACAGATTCTGACTAACTCCAAGCATTGATTATGCAAGAATGGGCAGCCATCAGTCAGGATATAGCCAAGAAGTTGATTGACAGCATGCCAGGGTGAATTGCAGAGGTCTTGAAAAGAAGGGTCAACACTGCAAATACTGAGTCTTTGCATAAACTTATTGTAATTGTCAATAAAAGCCTTTGACGCTTATGAAATTCTTGTAATTATACTTCAGTATACCATAGTAACATCTGACAAAAATATCTAAAAACACTGTAGCAGCAGACTTTGTGAAAATTAATATTTGTGTCATTCTCAAAACTTTTGGCCATGGCTGTACTCAACCGCAGATGAGCACGGATGGACGAGTTCGGCACATACACAGTACCACCTAGTGGACTCTGCAGACTGTCTGCACGGACACCAAAATTGGGGTGCACGCGGACGTTGTGTATGGATGTCCACAGACACTTCTGATGATGAAAATTGCATTATGCGAAACACGGACCGCTGAAGTATACTTTGGAAATTAAATATATCTTTGATATATTTGAGCCAAACTGGCAATTTTATCCTTTAGCTTCATGATGGTAGACATTTTCTTTTGTTCGCGTTGCGATTTAGATTGTGTTTGAGCCTTAGTCAGTGCCCCTGCAAGCTCATAGAGTGTTATTCAGCGTTGTTGGTAATATGACTTATTTGGTTTCGTTTGAGTTTTTTTTTTCTTTTTCTCACCACTTCCTTTATAACTTTCTGTTTGGCTTCATGGAAATTCTGTGGTACGTACTGATTTAATTTTATTGCCAAGTGTACAGCATAATATATGCCTGTAAAGTTTTTTTTTGTAAATTTTACACGTAGCAATATAAACAAAATATTTACAGGCATTTTCTTTGGTAGTCTGCAATACATGCTTAGGAAATCGCAAATCTGGAAGGCACAGTTGCAGAGATGCAGGCTGACATTGCTGCATTGCAACATTGCTTCTCAGAAAGACCTGCAGGACAGCCTGGTATCTGCTAAACATGACCTACTCCGTGTCCAGGAGTAACTTTCCCTTGCTGAGAAGGTACACTGATTCAGCACTGTAGCACTTATCAGACACTAATCTGAATGTCTGACCTGACTGTTCACACTGAGATCACATTGCAAAAAATGGATACATATTCAGTTTAGTTCCACATATGAAGGTTAACTTTAACTTGAAAATACTATTGGATTCATTATTTCAAATAATTTATTTACATAATAAATAAATTATTATTAATAACAGTAATTATTATTGTTCATATTTATTGTTTATAAATGTATCTGTTTATAAACAAATAGGTTAATGTGTTTGATGAATCATATCATGTTTATTTATCCATTAAGGAACTGGAGAAGAAATTTCAGCAGACGGCTGCTTACCGGAACATGAAAGAGATTACAAAGGTACAGTATAACTTTGTATGTTATGACCATCACTGAAATGTTGTGAGAATCTACCATTGGTTTCAATTAAATATATTTATGAATTTGTTGCATTATATTCCCTCCTCAGGTATGAATCAGATGAGTGAATGTTTAACCCACAAGGACACACATGAAGAGGTCAGCAGATTATCACTACTGGATCTGATGTATCAGCTACACCTTGTACGGCTTAGATTGGAAATATTATTTGGACACGACACTACAATTACTTATTCATCACCTATCTGTATTTTTCAATGTTTACGGCTGGTTACCTGAGAGGAGGTTTTTGCAAGTACCCTCATATTTTTTGTGGGTTCACTTTGCTTAAGAGGAAACATGTTGCCCATAGCTTTGCTCCCTTCTTTCCTGGAAGAATACAGCTCAACACTGTTGTCAAATTCTTGTTTCTGGGTACAAAATACATTGTTTCAAAGAACTACATATCTGTGCATTATAATAATTATTATTTCTTTCTGTTTTATGTTTGTATGCATACATTAATCTCATCTTCTAGGAGCTTTAGCTGTTGCCACAAGTATATAACCTATACAAAAATTGTGTATATCATTTTATAATTAAGGACAGCCCTAGAGAGAGAGAGAGAAGTGATGTGTGGCCAAGTATGGTGACCCATACTCGGAATTTGTGCTCTGCATTTAACCCATACAAGTGCACACACAATAGTGAACACACACACCGTGAAACACACCTGGAGCAGTGGGCAGCCATATTGCTGCAGCGCCCGGGGAGCAGTTGGGGGTTCGGTGCCTTGCTCGGTGCCGTCGTAGTATTGAGGGTGGAAGAGAGCGATGGTTATTCACTCACCCCACCAACAATTCCTGCCGGACCTGAGACTCGAACTCACAATCTTCTGGTTACAAGTCCGACTCTCTAACCATTAGGTCACGACTGTGTAATGCATTATATACACAGGCATCAAAAAAGTTTTTTTTTAATTTAAAAAATGTTTGTAGTGAAAGGAATAGTTAACCCTAAAATGAAAATGTACTCACCCTCAAGATGTAGGATACATTTTGCATTACATCACTTGCTCAGCAATTTCTCCTTTGCAGTAAATGGGTGTCGTCAGAATAATAGCTCAAACAGCTGATAAAAACATCACAATAATCCACATGTAATCCAAATGACTCCGGTCGATCAATTAATGTCTTGTGGAGTAAAAAGCATGTTTATAAGAAACAAATCCATCAAGGGATTTTACCTTTAAACCATTGCTTCTGGCCAAAAACGAGTGCATAACCCATAAAAATGCTTCCTCCAGTTAAAAAGTCCATAACCTTTTATACTCTCATATCAAAGTCATTCAACATGTTTGTTTATAACTGTTTTAGCCTGTCTTCATTTGTAAACAGTGCTTGATCTGTGTATATTTCTCATGATTCAAACGAGATGACTTTTTCACCGGGGAAACCAATATTATGGACAGTTATGGACTCGTTTGAATTTAAAAGGAATTAATGATGGAATTGTTTCTTACAAACACACAGCTTCATAAGACGTTATCTGTTGAATTGGAGTCAGATTACTTGTTTACATTTCAAAATGTCTCACTTTCAACATTTGATATGTTATCTATATTCTATTGTGAATAAAATATAAGTTTATGAGATTTGTAAATTATTCCATTCCTTTTTTACTCACAATTTGTACAGTGTCCCAACTTTTTTGGAATTGGGTTTGTAGATACCGAATGACTGTACTTTTGTTAAAAATATAGTTTATTGCCATTTTGACTGGCATTACAATGGGGCTCCAGTCCACATACTTTGTGTTGACCTTTACTCGTCATATTACATTGAATCTTTTGAAATATTTTATGAACAGATGTCTTTACATCAGTGGAGACCCCCGTGGTTTAAAATGTTTCCTATATAGCACATTCATTGTATATTTATTTGCTATCCACAGTATATTTTTGTAAGGCCTATGTCCTTGTCCCTTCAATCAGAAAGCATCACTGGAACAGCAGTGTAGGGGGTGATATGACTCGGTGGTTGGGGTCTTTTATCATGTGAATATTCTAGCAATGTAAAATTAGTGTGAAATGTAATTGTTCACATGAGCTCATAAAGTCTGTTCTAGCTCATAGATCTATCTAATGTCTTATGTTGGCATCATTTGCTTGCACAGGCATAGTCTCTAAAAATGAAAGAGGAAATTCATTGTGAGGTGAGAGAATGTTCACATTGTTTTGATCATGCAATATTAAGGACGAAAAATATTTAGTTACTTCTTGATGTGACCAACACTTTAAATCTGCCTGTTTATATAATTATGCATGTGTTCATTTGGCTTAAAGAAACAAAACTCTGTGAAAGCATGATGTCTGTTATGTTTCAGAATTTTTTTCTATTGTATTGTGAAGGGTAATTCTATAGTACGGTGATCCTGACTATGCTGCAGCATAGGTGGGAGGGGTTTTTCATCAAAGTTCCCCAAAGTTTGTCTGTGGTTGATTTTGAGTGTGGCATTCTTATTATAGCTTGCACAGTATGATATAGCACCAGCCTTAAAATATTTTTTGGTATGGTTAAAAAGAGTAGCCAGTGGTACACTGCAAAAACAGATGTCAAAAAAACAACACACATGGTTGTGTTGACAGCATTCTGATGTGTAATTTTAAAAAAAAAAAGCCTTTGGACAGATTGACACAATAAATGTGTTATCTCCTGGGCCGGCAGTTTGTGTTTATGGAAATAAATACAATAGGGTTAATTCGGGTAATCTGAGAAATTTTTTGCAATTTTGACCTGTGATTTATTTCGATATAAATTTTGAATGCAATTCGAAGATGTTTTCTAACCACACTAGAAGAAAGAATGTTGATATTATACCCAGAGGAGACATGCCACACCTATTAAGTGTTTTTTGTGCCAAAAAAAAAAATCTGCCTGAATTTGATAATCTGGGACAGGTCACTTTGTAATCTGGGACATATGTATTAGGTCTAAAAAAGCTTTACTTTATGCATGCCAAACACAATATCACCAATTTTTAAAAAGCTTTATGAAAAAAGACAAGTACAGAAATCTCAATAAGGAAATGTATATTTCAATATCAGGAAAAATTATTTATTTCTGTACACAGGAAGAACAATATACTGTGTTCATTCATTTTAATTAATTTAAAACTATTAAAATTGTTTAACATTGTATTAACATTTTAAAGAATCAACTAAAATGTAAGCAGCAGCAAGCAACAATTTGATTAATGGATTATTCAGTCAGTTATTCAAGTTCTCCATTCTATTAAAATTGGGGCTACTCGGGGAACAAACACTCCATGTATGTGTGTGTGTGTGTGTGTGTGTGTGTG